ATTCCAGTTTCTAACAGGCACCTGTGTAGGTTTTATTACATCAGTATGCATACAAACAACAGTATCATAAAAAGGTAGGCAATATCGAGGAAGTAAACTTTTTAAAGTCATAACATGACTTGAAAGAAAATTAAGAAATAAGAAAAAATTACTTACAGGTAATAAAAATTCTTAGAACTCCAAAGAATCTGTCCAAAAAAGGTCAGTATCTGATATTTTGGAAACTACCCAAACCACATATTAATTCTAGAAAGAGTCAATGCAAGTGACAGCAGTTAACATTTTGGTTATCTTCTATTTGCAGGTGTGATCCTTTTACCTATCACAATCATGGGAATGTTTCTAGGAGGCTTTCTGATCAAGAAATTCAAACTTCACATAACAGAAATGGCCAAGTTTGCATGCATCACCTTTATAATAGCATATTTGTTAAACCTCTTGTACTTTACGTGCAGCTGTGAGGTGCTCCAGGTGGCTGGTCTGACAGCGCCCTACTCTGGGTTTGTATCCCCTTGGCTGTGTCATTTGTTGTGGTGGCTTCCTGCCCTGGGGAGAACGTGGTGCACGCGCCTGTATTTGTCTACTCACAATCTAATCTGAATTTATCTCATCTGGAATACAAACCTTCTACTCTAGGAAACATTTTGATTATAATGTGGATGAGTTCTGAAATGTAGCTTCTCTGTTGATTTACTGTAGTGTATTGTTATATCCTTTTACGTAAAAAAACCCCCCGTGTCTGTTTAAAGACAACATTTTTTTGTTGAAACTAGCATGTATTAGGTCATCTACTAGTGTCAATCAGTGTGATTTTGGCTACAGTGGAGCTACTGTGATTACATAATTTTAACGCTCCCTTTGTGGTGGTACACACAAGAGAACCCTATATTTTGAGAAAGACTAGTCAGGCTGAAATGACACCTAGTGTTGAGGATGTGCAGAATACCCTAATTTTGTTTTTCAAATTTTGTTTGGGTACACACAAGAGAACCCTATATTTTGAGAAGACTAGTCAGGCTGAAATGACACCTTGTGTTGAGGATGTGCAGAATACCCCAATTTTGTTTTTCAAATTTTGTTTCAACTGAATATTTATATTTCTAATTCATTTATTGCTGCATATTGAGAATATATCTCTATATTCTAGCAAATCACTCATTAATACAATATTTATTACAGGCAATTGGATTTTTTTTTATATTCTATTCCAAAGCTTGAATTTAAAGCTGTTCTCCTGCTACCATGTAGATAGTGGGAAGTAAAAAGAGTGTTGGAACTGGCTACTCCATAGTCTCCCAATGGCTTTGTCTCTAGAAGAGCCAATCTTTTGGGTCAGTAATTATCAAGCTGCATGGAGAGCTACCAGCCTGCCTTGGTTTTTGGAGCTGCCAACCTGCCTGGGTCCATTTTCTCAGCTGTGAGGTAGGAAGTGGTCATGTTGGGAACGCGTGCTGCCCAAACAGAGTTTCCCCCTCCCTTACCAAGACTATGGTCATGCTTTCTTGAGAACATTTTGCTGACCCTAGCAGAATGCCACAATTGCCTACTGTTTAAATTTAGCTCAGTCTGGTCCAACAGATTTCAAGGGATTTGAAAGGATTAAACTGAATCCAGAAGGACTTGCTAGATTTTCAATTCAGACAGAAACTCAGTCCTCTGTTTTTTGAAACTGAGCTGATGTTCAGGGAAATAAATCTAAGTTGTCTTGGCAAACCTGAAACCCATTTCAGCTTTGAGGTCAGTTACATAAATGATTGTGCAGTGGTGATAACTCCGGTTGGGTACAACATCTGATACTGTGGAGTGAATTAAAAATAAGCAGAAACATCAAGACAGCAAATACTGAAAGAGCAATTATAGTTTCTCCAGGAGAATGGAGACTGGAGAATTTAGCACATGCTAGGATTGTTCTGGTTAAGTGAGTCACATACTATTTTACACATTTAACAATTTGTAGGTTGAAGATGAGCAACAGCCTAATGAGGGTTAAAACCCCAGTTATTTTTCCTTCTGAAAGACTGGGGAGATATGTAACCCTCTTGAGGTGTGTTTTGGACTGAGGGATAGGGAGGAAGAAAAGGCAAATTTTAAACACTTTTTCCTTTACATTGTGACTGACTTCAAAGCAGGGGTGGTTCGTAGACGGTGGACTCCTAACAGTTTCTGAAAACTGAGCCCTGCTACAATGCCCTCAGAGTCACTGGCCAGTTTTTAAAAGTCTCAGTGCTAGTTTTCATCTGCTTAGTTTGTCTCATTGGGGCCTGAGTTTGATGTTTCTTACAGAAAATGTTGGTAAAGGTGAAAGCTATGAAAGTCCATGATAATATACAACAAGAAATGAGATCTGAAAAGAAATGGAACTCAAGCCTGTCCCTGCTGCTAAGTGCTGTCAGAAGCAGCACTTCCTGCTCAGACTCATGCAACTTTAATTGCCACTAACCAGCTCTGATCCAATGAAAAAACTGCCAAGGACCTCTTGTTGCTTTAGTTGTTTGTAGTTTTAGATCACCACTTCTAGCACACAGATATGGTATGATATCTCCTGCTAAGGAAAAGCATGGCCACTCTACGGGTAATAAGAGATTGTAATTGACATTTTCTTTTTTGTGGGTTCAGCTTTCAAATGAAAAAGTAATACCAAATATTCCCTCCCAACTAGGAATGCCTACTTTGCAATTTCCCTGCCTTTTCAGCAACAATCCATAAAAATGTTAATGCTTGAGGAAAAATCCTGGTTTAGCTGAAATTAGCTTAGTCTCTATATAAAGCCTCTGACTTTACAGTCTATTGGGTGGTAGCAGGTGATTGCTTCACTTTCTCTGCTTTTTTCCTGCCTACTCCTTTATATTTCATTTGATTATATAATTTGACTAAATAATTCTTTTATTTCTTTCTGTTTTCATCCAGATTAAAACATCTTTCCTCCCCAAAAAACAATTTCATGGCCAGTTGCAATGCTGACTGCGGCTGCAAGCTGGATCAGTGGGACCCTGTATGTGGGGATAATGGGATCACTTACATGACAGCCTGCTTTGCGGGTTGTAAATCATCAACCGGGACGGGAAAGAATATGGTAAATATATAGGTAGATAGATGATTATAGATATAGCTAGATTTTTCCATCTATTAATTTTTTGGCTTTTTGATTAAGAAATCCTGTAGACACAAACGTCCATTCAGTATGGTTTAACCTTGTAGTAGAAACTGAGTGAGGGCAAAGTTGCAGGGAGGGTTTTTAAAACAGTTGGGGTGAGGTAAGTAAGGTATTTAGGAAAGACATGAAAACCTCAGACTTGACTTACATCTCTTGAACGCTCTTATTTCAGGTTTTTTTGTCTTTGTTTTGGGTTTGTTGTTTTTTTTTTAATTTATTTTCTTCTCACCCAGATGGCTTTAAGTTTCACAGTAGATCTCTTACTGTGTGGGTACAACACAGCTAAGAGGGGTTTGCTTTAGAAGACCTTTGCTAGTCTGGTTGTTATACTAGCAAAATCCCATGGTGTCAACTTATGTCCAGCAGACCTGTATAAAACTGAGTGATGGTTTCTGTCCTGGCTATGCTCCCTGTACCAGCTACTAGGAAGAAAATTATCTTTATCCCAGTTGAAACCAGGACAGTTTCACAAACTATTACAGATCATACTGGAATTGCCTGCTTTACTGAGCTGCTATAGCTCAGGAGAGCAAGTTGTAACTCTAAATTGTACAGCCAAGAGGTCTTGTAAATATACATCTGTCCATTTTGTTCAATATATCAACAGCAAAGCCATTTCCAGGACTTCAAACAACCCTACCTGGGCAAGAGCATTAAAACCAGTGAGTTTGGAGAAGTGTGCACAAATGGTTGTGTCATCTGGCAGAAGCAGAATTCTCTCCATGTAAAAATACTAAAAAAGAGAGACAACTTTTTAAGACTTATATCTGTACATCTCAGCAGTATCTGCTTCCTTCATTTCAGGGGAATTGACTTTCAAACCCATGTCTCCTGCTAACTTCAAAGGCTGTGAAACAGCCCACTCTCAATCCAGTGCCAAATGATGGTTTAGATCCATAATGATAGATTTGGATTTCTGCATTGTTGGGTCCAATTCTAAATTTTTATTTTTACTCATCTACTTCATTAGATTCCTGAGCAGAATGGCTGGATAACAGTTCACATCTGAATTTTATAGCTTTGACCCATTTTAAGTAAACACAGAGCACCTTCTGTCCTAGCAATGGAATGACTGAAACTAGAGTCACAGTTGCTTTGTGCCTTTGGAGCAGTTCCGAGTGGCTGGAGCATACCAATGAACTTGGCCATCAGTTTGCAAGGATGATTAGGAAGGTTCTTTCAGTATAAACAACAGCCTGCCTGTTATGGGGAGTAAAAAATCTAGCTACTAAAACAGTTCTGTGACACTAAATTATGATTAAGTAAATTCTTCTTCTCATCTTCTCCTTTCAGGTGTTTCATAATTGCAGCTGTGTGGAAGGACAAAGGCATGGACTTGGCAATTCCTCTGCAGTTTTGGGACAATGCCAAAGAGAAAGCTGTACCAAAGCATTTCCCTATTTTTTAGCATTACAGACTGCATGTGCATTTATTTTAGCCTTAGGAGGCACTCCTACGTACATGATTATGTTTAGGTGAAATACTTTACCTTACCTTGACCATAAAGCTTGGGGAAAGAGAATCATAATATGGTATCTACTATTTCATTTCTACTGTGAGGAATGGCATGATGATGAAACTGGGGCCCTGAGTCTTTGCCTGTACTCCGAAATCCATCTTTGTTCAGAGGCACAGCAAAATGCCTGTCCACCAATTTAATTCCAATTTAAGGCTGAGTAGATACTTCAGTGATGAAATGGGTGGACCTTACGCTGATCCTGAACACTAGTTTTCGCTTTCAATGACAAGGATGTTTTCAACAGAGCAATGAACTTGAAATAAGATGCAGTGCTAAGCCATATCCAAGGTGACTATGCTGTTCACATTACTCAGGAGAAAAACATTCACCTTTGTTGAACCTTATTGTCTCAGAATTTTTTTTCTCTTGTGCGAAGTCTGACACTCCCATTTTTTGGCAAGCTGGTATGAACAGCTATGTCAGCAGCAATATTTTAAAATTACTTTTTATTCCTTCAGTTGTAAAGCAGCACTGCTATTTACCACTCAGAAGAAATGACAACGTTCTGTGCCTTTGGCATGGAAGTGTATTTCCACTGATGCTCATGGGTGAATTGCAGTCCTGGGTAGACAGTGTGCATGACTAGATAAGTCTCTTTGCTAAGATGCTGATTCTTCTGCAATATTTTGAAGTGCAGCTACTCTTACTGCATGCCTGGATTATGGACAAAGCTAACTTTGGGCAAAGTTTTCAGAATACTACTATGTATAATGAGAAGCCTTTCATTTTAATGTTGAAAAGACAATATACTGATGAAAAAACTCCAGTTCAGGAAACAGGCTGGCCAAAGCAAGTCTCTTTCCTGCCCCTGTCCAGCTCAGTACTCCCCTCTGATTTTTGTGAATTCTTCCTGGTCTAGTGGAAGTTGTCCCTGCTGATGGCAGGGGGGTTGGGACTGGATGATCTTTAAGGTCCCTTCCAACCCAAACCATTCTATGATTCTATGATCTGATGGACACAGACTGTTTCTCCACTGGTAGGAGTGAGGTACTTTTTGTAGCCAGGTAACTCGTGTTTGCTGTGTCTCTCTAAAATGATAGAGACAGAGATGGGTTTTATCTGCATGTAACTAGCAAGGACTGCTCACCCTTGTTGCCTCTGTTCACCACTGCACAGTACAGCCCCTTCTAAAGCAGGGCAGCTCCTTGAAGCTTAATTTATGGACATGAAGTGCCTATGTTTAGTTGGTTCACTTTAATTTTCCCATGTATCCTCTCCCAAAAGTCTTTAAATCCATTCTCCTTGGGTTCAGTTTCTGTAGATTCTTCCATTTATTTCAATGAGAGTTCATCCTCTGACATCAATGGAAGGAGGCTCTACATCTGAACTTTAACTTTGGTGAATGTTTTCACTTAGTGTTTGATTAAACTGTGCTAGGGAAGCCACAATGCTCTTGCCATGGGGCACATGCAGATGTTCACAGAATGGCTACAGCTATGTTATTCTATCATTCCCCCAAACAATGTACTCTTTTTGTTTCCTTTTTTAGATCTGTATCGCCAGACCTGAAATCCTTTGCTGTTGGAATTGAAACTTTAGGTGGTAGAGTACTAGGTAAAACTTCATTTCTTTGTGGGATTCAAGTAGATAGTCACAGAGATAAACCAAAACTAGACAGTGCAATATCCTTTCTCCAGCTGACAACAAAAGAAATTCTGAAAAAGTTTTCTTTGTAAGCAGACTATGCATTTCAAAATGTTTGGAGGAGCTTGCTACATGTTTCCTGGTATGTAATTACGTATTATGATTATCCCTTCAGAATTTTTTTTATGCAGCAAATGAATCAGGCAAAGGAAGGAAATTGCATTGTACTTTTGGTCTTTTTTTTTGATTGGTGGACCCAAATACCTAAGCTTAATCAATCATGATATCCTTAACACCTATGCTTCCTTTTGCTGACCATTTTTCGCTTAGAACTACCGTGTACTCTGCCTATTATTTTCTTTCTTGTGTTTATCTGCAATAAATAATTGTTAAAGTCTTCAGGTATGTAGTCTGCCCTGCCCCTAACGATCCTTGCCTTATCTTAATTTGCTTGCTGACTTTTGAGATCTTCCCCATGCAGACCAGCCCAAGTAGTGATTTGGAGTTCTCTCTCTAATCTCCATATTTTAGCTGAATGCCGCACAGAATCAACCTTGTGCTTTTATGAAATATTAATTTTCTTCACAAAACTGCACTTTATCCCTGGAACAGCTTACTGATTATATTAAAATCATATATTATATGATTATATAATCATATACTGACTATATGACTGTCTGAAAGGAATTCTTTCAGTGCTACATAAATAATACACTTATTACCTAGTTGCTTTTGAGCAAGTGCTTAATTTCAACCCGTGGCACTCAGTTAACCATTTTTAATGGCAGATACATTAGTATATATAAATATTAATATTAATATGTCATGGCACATAATTCCACACTGGGGACTGAAAAAGAAATGCTGGTTATATTATTTCTTTAAATGACAGAAGTTATAATTCTAGCAAAAATAACATTGAAGTAGAATTACTAACATTTCCCTTACTGAATATAATAATGCTGTAATCTTCCATCCTTTCAACTGCCTTTAGGTACTTTCTTAAATATTTTTCACAAATCTTGGAATCTCAAAGCTGGACCTAGATGTTTAGTCCTATTTTATGCAGCCATCATTCAGAAAATCTGAGATTCATTTCCTCATTTCTTATGACATTAAAATCCGAGATTTTAATATCTGAGGTCTTGTAATAAGAATTTTCTTTGCAGGAGGACTCCCAGCTCCTATTTATTTTGGTGCCTTGATAGATGAAACCTGCTTGAAATGGGGGACAAAAAACTGTGGGGGATCTGGATCTTGTCGAGTATATGACACGAAAGGATTCAGGTAAGCTGAAATCTTCATAAGAGACTGGGAATTTGGCTTCTGAGGCAGCTTTGTGCCAGGGCATGTTTTGCCCATGACAATTGTCAGTGGACTGTTTAGGATACTAAAACCACCAAAAATTCTTATTTTGACTAGACCTTAATAGACCAAATAAGCCAAATAATTTTGATTCAGTCTGACATAGGACATTGCAGTACACTCCCTTACAACGCCAGAATTAATCCCTTTACTAAAGCCTTAGTGCACTGAATAAGTCTGCAATGCTTTGGCTTTGTGGAAGACTGAAAAACTGCAGAGCAAGTGTAGTCTTGAAAACACTCTTCCTCATCCCTCATTTCTCTTCCTCCTGTTGCATAAGACGCTTCACAAAATCCACTCAGAGAGGGGACCCAAATGACTGGTGGTGCATGGAAAGCTATGGCCAGGAGCACTGAGTGCTGCCAGTGAGGGGCTGGGGAAGGCTGGGACAACAGGCAAAGCCCCAGCTCACTGAGTTCCTTCTGTCCCAGCTCTAAAATATAGTCTGCTGAATGGGAGTGCTCTTCAGACAGGAGGCATTTCTGCTGGGAGTGTAGGATCTGATTAGAACCTGCCTGGGACAAAACATGATGAGATTGTTTGCTTTCTGTCTGTTATTTCTCAAAACATGGAGCAATATCTGGCTGAGAAGATGATTTTGCCAACATGTATTTGATATCTTACTCGGTTCGGCTCGGAAGTGACAAACTTTATTAATATAAACATATTTTGTCACCTTTTTTCCTAGAAATGTCTATCTTGGCCTCATTGCAGGACTACGGGCAGGATGCTGTCTCTTATACATAGTGCTCTGTGTTTTAATAATGAAGCGCTTCAAAAGAGGTGACAAAGAGGTGACAGATATTAAAAATACAGAAACATCAACCAGTAAAGAACCAGCTACTGCCAACAAAAAAGAGTTTCTTCCTGGTGCAAGAACCTCGGAGGAGAGTGAAGAAACTCGTATGTAAAAAAAGAAAGAACATCTTTTCATAACTGCCTATTCTTTACTTTTTCTAAACACAAGAGGAGTCTAATTGTTGACTTCAACAGCTAGTTTACATTTCGGGGGTTCAAAAAAAAATTATTTGAAATACTGACTTTTAATTTACTTTACCTTATCCTCTTCCTGTTTTCAAAATTTTGGGGAACTCTCCCATCCTCTTGCATTCAGACCCTTTCTAGACCAACAGCAGGACTAGCCAAAATTATTCAAGTGTCATAAATTTGATTATGATTGAAAAATTAAAAAGAAGAAATCCGCAATAAGCTGCTTTTCAATCTTTCACTGGTTTTATTTCAAGTCCTCTTCCTCTGTATTTAGTCTTACAGCTCTAAATCGCCAATTATGTTACACATGCCCAGTTGCTCTGATGGCCTTTGCTGCAATGTTCATGACCAGAGCTCTTTTTTCCAGCCTGGGTCCCATGGCCCATGCTCAGATGAGAACGCCAGGGCTACTGGTGAGCAGTCTCTAAACAAGAACTGCACAACAACTCTGGGGTTGGGTTGGAACACATTAAAAAATCAAAATGGATTGCAAACAAAAGAAAGTGGTGTATTAATTTTGCAGCAAATCTCAGTATTGGCTTTGAGTAAAATTACTCTGAACTGATGCAATAAAGTGATAGATGTTTAAGTTTCTCTGATTTTCTTTTTGGGGGGGGGGTGCATGTGTGCGTGGGCATTTTTGTCCTAATGAACACTATGTTTATACCACAGGTATATAGATTTCCTTTCTTGTTTAAGGAACCTCCAGTACACCTTGAAATACAGTGCTGAAAGCTTGCAAATCCACAGCTCTCCACAGACAGCTTAGTCCACAGAGAATCTTTAATAAAGGATGCTTCCAACATTCATTATTGAGAAAAAATATCTCTACAATACTTGATCTGTGGTATTTCACTGCAGGTTTTTTCTCTATCATTACAGCTGTTTTGCTTTCTTTTCAGAAGGGTAACTCTGCCTCTTGAAGTCCTGTGCACAAGCCTAAAACTAGGAAATAAACTTTCTTTCCTAATTTTAAACTTTCTTGGGACATGGAAGAGAGCATTGCACAAATATAAAGAAAATCTACCAACCTTCATCTGAGAAACTAGCAGAGCAGAGGGCTATAGAGAGAGACTTTCTGTATTAAATGACCTTCTGGCCTTTTTTCTGCCATCTGCTCTGTGTAAGAGCAGTAAAGAATGGGAAACAGGTTGATGTGGAAAACAAGTTATTAATATCCTGGCCTTGGGGGTGGAGTTGTTTGCATTTTATTATTTAAAGACAATGACCAGCACATTTAGATGTTGTCTTTTACAGTCACAGCTCTGATTATAAACTGCCAGCAGATATGGGGAGGCAGCGCTTGCTAGAAGGGAACAGGAATGAAAGCTTCTCTAGAACCGATTATATTAATGTTCCTTTTAGGTCTGGAAATAATTAAAGAAAAAGTCAAGTTCCAGAAACCCCAGGAATTTTACACGGAGAAAATAATGGTTTGTCTTTTTCTTTCTGCAAACAGTGTTCCAACATTGAACAAATATATTGGCAATTCTAGAAGCACTTCTGCTCTGCACTAGCCATATAGACTCAGCTGTCGTATATTAACATTATTTCCCTTTTACTTCTATTGTTTGGATATGTATTTCTGTACATTGTTTTTTATATTACAGGTTTTTTTGACAGGACCATCTTTTGCACCTAGTGCATGATTTTTCCCAGGAGGTAATGTTTTGTCAAAAGTGTGTTCACAGTTGATGTCAGACAAAAAATTGAGATTCTAGTCATATGCGAGGATTCATGTAGAGATATTATATTACATGGTAAAGCAAGATTTTTCAAATAAATGAGACTTAACATCATTCTTCATAACAATCACAAATTGGTAATCATAGAATCATTAAGGTTAGAAAACACCTTTAAGATCATTGAGTCCAACCAAAAACCTAACACTGACAAGTCCACCACTAAACCATGTCCCTAAGCACCACACCTGCTCGTCTTTTACATACCTTTGTGGATGGTGACACAAGCACTTCCCTGGGCAGCCTGTTCTAACTCTTGACTACCCTTTTGGTGAAAATTTTTTTCCTAATATCCAACCTAAACCTCCCCTGGCACAACTTGAGGCCATTTCCTCTTGTGTTATTGCTTGTTACCTGGGAGAAGAGACCGGTGTTGGTCTTGCTACAACGTCTTTTCAGTGATAAGGTCTTACCTGAGCCTCCTTTTCTCCAGACTAAACAACCCCAGTTCCCTCAGCCTCTTTGCGTAAGATGTGTGTTCCAGACCCTTCACCAGCTTTGTTGCCCTTCTTTGGACATGTTACAGCACCTCAATGTCTTTCTTGTAGTGAGGGACCCAAAACTGAACTCAGTACTCAAGGTGCTGTGGTGGTATTAAATAAGCCTCTGGCTCAATATACTGCCAAATCCAAGGTTATATCACTTGCCTACGTTTTCAACATGCCCTGTTTCTTGCATACAAGTCTAAGCACTCTCCTGTGAACAGCAGCTAGAAGTTTCTTCAAGGAAATAATTCATCCTTTAGCATAGGATATAGAAAAAAATTAAATACGTGGTCAATCGAGTGGCATTTTCCAAAAGTTTTTTGTCACCTTGTATATCACAATAGAGAAGAAATAAGTACATTCTCCCTTTTGATTCCTTCTGCTCCTCTTTCACCAAAAAGAGAGGCAAAGACGCCCTTGAGACCCTGTTGACAGGCCTGGTTTGACTGTAAAGACATACTGATTTTAGGATCAAAACTGGTATTTTTGTAGTGTGATAGGGCAATGCGTAGCCTATCTCTGACATCTCTGAGCTCCATCACTAGGAAGATCCTCCAGGAAGGAAAATCTGTTGCATTCTAAGGTGGTAAGAGAAATTGTTAACCAGGAAAGCTATGTTGGAAGCACTTAAATTTGCAAGTACGCCAAGTCAGGTATGTTTTTGAATAAAGCTGACAAATCAGGTAGCTTAGGGATCATTATAGACAAATTGGTTGTCCATAAATCATTGTAATTCCACTGAAATCAATGAAGAAAGAGTCAAACCACTGAATTTTTATCAGAGTGTGGGAGGCTTAGGGGTATGAGCCTTGTATTTACCCAACTCTTGTTTGAGGCTATCAAAAAGTCCTTTATTGGCATTGTCAAAGTCCTTTCTGTCATAATAACTGTGGAAGACAGAGCCTTATTCCAGAAGACAGTGCAGTTATTTGTCATATTCTTACTTTTAGGTATATAATCAAGCAGACACAATGACCTATGAGTAACCGTTTTTGTGATATTTTCTAGTTGTTTATCAAAGAGAAAAAAACCCCCAGTAGCCCTAAACCCAGCTTTCTCTATGTATTAGGATCATGGCCCCTAGAAAGACCAAGCCTTCCTACAGGTTTTGGATCCCCATTATCAACAAATCCTGTCTATCCTGGCACAAAAATAAATTTGGAATAGAGTACTAGCTGTTGCAGAATAAACAGAAAATTAAATTTAAAGCATTTCAAATATTTCAGTAACATAACAGAAAGTTAATATTAGATATAGTCTACCAATTTTTCACTGTGGAATGTATTGTCATTTTGCTTATGTCTCGTTTGGAATATGGTCAGAGTTCTTTCTAGCTGAAATTGTTAATATAAGTCTGAATGATACGTTCGTTTCACCACTGTTGATTATATATATCTTACTTTCTAATTAATTCATATTTTTATTCCGAGCTACTAAAACATAACTAAACAACAGTTCAAGTTGGTCAAAAATTGAAAAACAAAAAAAACCTTACTACAGGTGCACCTGAATTTTGGGGCCGAGCAAAAAGAGAGAGACCCCTCTGCACTAATCTGAAAGTGATCTGTAAGGGCAGAGGCTGCTTTTTAGAGAAGGTAAATGATTTCTTTGTGTATAGCCATGGATGTGAAGAGGGGAGAGTGGCCATGGGAAACATGCACGGATGCTGTATGTCTCCTACAGTGTTTGTCCACCTCTTTGGCCAGATCTACATTATGGACAGGAACACCCTGCTTTCTAGGTGGTTCAATATACCTTCAGCCATGGCTGTTGAGCTTCCCTATAGAGGGTCCATATGCAGCCCTGTGGGAGACAGCCTTGGCTTGTGCCCTGCAGCTGCTGGTGGCCCTATTCACTGCATCCCTCAGGATGTGTCTCCCTGATTAAAAAAAAATAGTGGGTTGCTAGTCTGGCTCACTTACACGGGGACACTGGAGCCTGATGTCCTGCTGTGAGATGGCCATACACGGAGTGCTGATTCATAATGAAGAGTGGGAGAGCACAGCTCTGCCCCAACGTGCTGGTCCTCTTCCTTGCATTCCATGGGCTGCTCCTGCCTGCACTGCAGCCTCCCTGCCACAGTTGTGAGTCACAGTTTGAGTTGAATGTGTCTGCATGGCATTTCAGAGCATAGCTTCAGGGTGAGGCCTTATCTCTGCTGGAGTTTCCTTCCCCAGAAAGCCAGACACCCTTGGTCTCTCTTTAGACTAGAGCAAGGGCCAATATATGCTAGGGATGTATATAATCATAGAGTTTGTGCTCAAGTCCTGACTTAACCTGACAAGATCGTGGAAACCTGAAATATTACTCCAGTATTAATAACCAGTTATAATAATAATTATGATGTGACTTCAAATATCTAAAAGATCCTGCCAGGTTTTATGTACTGATTGCTTCAAACTTTTTTTTTAAAGCTGCAAGCACATGGTTGAGAAAATAATCTCCTAAATATAAAAGATAGACTTCTTAGATTTCTATATAGAATTTCACTCTTCATAGCCAGCAAAAGGTATGAATCATACAAGATTATCATGGCCAATTATAATATTACATCAGTTGGAGAATGGCCCATTGGGATACCTGGTTTACAAAGAAGAACACGTCAGCACATGAATAAAATTGAAAGGGAAGAGAAGAATTGATTAAATAAGGCTTTAGGAGACTGTGATGAAGTTTTCTATTGACGCTTGAAAG